AGCTAGTATGTCAGGTGTAATTTTAGCTAAAATTATCAAGTTTTAGCCAAAATTAAAAAAAATTTTAGGCTGAATTATAAATTAATTAATACTTAATTATAAAATTTTAATTATTAATAACTTTTGATCAACTGAACCAATTTAAATGATTTAACTACCAAAATGATTCTCTTAATGAGAGAATTCTAACAAGTCTAAAATCACAAAAATCTAATTATTAGATTCTAAGATAATATTAGATTTGTATTACTTTTTTTTTTCACTTAGGCAAAGTCACATTAGTGACTTCTGTTTATTTTAAAGCTTATCTCATAAAAGATGTAATATAATAAAACTTTGGTTCTGACATCCTGCGGTTATCTTGTATAATCTAACCGATTATCTACACATATCTACAAGTGATCTGCTACACCACAGAGGTACAATCAATTAAGATAATACCCTAGATAGAGAGCTCGTTCAACCTACAATAGGATATTACCAATCTGATGACATCTTCTCATAGGGAAGTGAAAGAAAAAGAAAAACTATTTTATAAAACAAACACAAAGATATAAGGGAATATAATAAAAAATACAAACAAGAAAAGAAAGAGATAAAAAAAATGAAAAAAGAAAAATATGGAATATACCCACACCAAATGGTTACAATTATAAGCCTGTGTTAGACTTTGTAAAAATTATATACTATACTATCTAAACTAGTCTCTATTCTAATCTATATAATTAGTATATCTAAGCAAAAAAACCATAGAAGTCAAAAAAATCAGCTTCTTCGACATCGTTATTGTAAAAATGTTAAATCATACTATTAGTTTCGAACCATTGTTTGTTTGAATTGACACTTCCAAGGCATGTAATTCACATATCCATGTTTCATGCATATCCATGTGTTTGTTGTGATAGAAAAAAGTAAACAATGCTGACTGATTTGGTAAGTTAACAATATATCGATCTTTTGGAGGAGGTAAGCTAAGTCACCCACTTTTTTACAAAATTTTTCTCAAAAAAAAAGCAAAAAGTTAATGAGAATATGTGAGGTTCTTCTGTAAGTTTTACAGTTATATAAACAATTCTTCAAGCTTAAACTATTTCAGTGAGAGTCTTTTGACTACTACTTATTTTCAGAATAGCTCTTCTAGTTTGAATGCCAAATAACTTAGAGAGTCCATCCAATATAACAAAGACTTAACTCCAAGAAAAATCGTCCAAGTTATACATGTTACTGAAATAAGTTTTCAAAAAACCTCTATTTCATTTCTATTAAAGTAATTTAGAATTTTTTATATACAATAGCAAATCTAATTTAGGTAGTTATGTTCTTTATAATTTCGTCTTTTCAAAAAAAGTGTCAAAAAATTTTGTCTTTTAAGTAAAATAGATCAAAAACAATTTTGTCTTCAAATTTTAATTTTGTACTTTGAATTTTAAAATAATTTCATCAGCATGTATAGTCCAAATTACGCCTGCTTCTCGGTATATCATATCTCTTAGACTTCATCAATAACAACCTATACTTAAGTAATATCAGTTCCCAGAAAATTCTTCTGATTTGGATATCAAATAACTTAGAGAGTCTACTCTCAAGCAGAAGAAGGCTTAACCCCAAGAAAAACTACCTAAAGTATGCCTGCTTCTTGGTATTTCATATTTTCAAGCTTCATCAACAACTATATTACTTTAAGGTAAGACTGAAAAGTATCTATCTTGGACATTCCTATATCGTTTTTTTGTAGTTCAGTTTGCTGTTGTTGTTAACCAAAGGATTGTCAGAAAGAGTTCTGATGATTTTTATTCCTAATTAGATTTGTATTACTATAAATATATTTTATTTTAAATTATTATATAGTAATATAAAATTATTCATATCTTAGCTTCTAGTAATTAGATTTTTATGATTTTAGATTTGTTAGAATCTTCTTAATGAGAGAATCATTTTAGTAGTTAAATTATCCTAATTGGTTTAGTAGATCAAAAGTTATTCAATATTTTATATTATATATAATTTTAATTATAAGTTTTAATAAATATGAAATCTTATTGGCTAATTGGATATCAGGTGGGGGTGGGTGGGGGTGAGTAGGTGGGTTGAGGTAATTACTTAGTAAACCCTAATCAGCTGATTTCTTAAAGCCTTCTTAAATTAGGTGCTCAAAAGGCGTAGGTATAACTAGAATGTATTCTTGTCAAAATGTACTTGTCTGAGGTCTCTTTGAAAAGAGCACTACATGATTTTATAATCTAATAAAAGTGAAAAGCCAAAGAGGCTAACCTTGACTACAAAAAAAACTAAAATATTTTAAAAATACAGTCATCCTTCTCTATAATCATGTGGTTTGTTTTATATAAAAATGATATAATTATAAAATTTTAATAGTATTATGCTTATATAAAGTTTTTTTAATAAATAAATTGCTAATAATTTTTAAAAAAAATGGTGCTTATAAAGAAGGTATAACTATATAGGAGGTGACTATAGAGGAGAATGACTGTAGTTTAGTGATTAAATTAATTATTAACCAATATAATACAGACTAATTAATAAATAATTTTTGTCTAGTTTATATAATATTATACTGATATAATAAATATGATTTGTATAATAACATTCTTTTTTGATAATTTAGCTGTCCTGCTACTTTTATTTAGAATTAAACTAAACTAAGAAATTTATATTTCCTAATAATAGCTATACTAACCCATCTGCAAAGCAGCTTATCCATACTTTTACTAAATATAACCAGCCTTAGTAGACTTCAACCCTTTCTTCGAGCCTCTAACTTACTAGGTGTTATCTTTTGATTATAGGCTGATGATACACACCAAATTAGAATTAACTTTTTTTTTATAAACAAAACACAAACACAAATATAAAGAACAAAAAAAAATAGAAAAATACCTCAATATCAAATTCTGGTTTATCTAAATAAATAAACCAAACAAAATAAATAACGAAAAAAAAAGAAAACAAAAGAAAAGAAAACAAAAATAGCACTATTAAACCTGTGCCAGATTGTAAAAATTATATAATACTACAAATAAACTAGACTAAACTTTATGCTAGTTATTTATATCTATATTCAGGATAAAAACCATCCGGTCTTGAAATAAAACTTCAAGGTTGAAACTTTTAGTTGCTATCCCAACTAGGTTAGTGAGTCTTCTACAGTGTTTTAAACATTATCATATTATCTGACATTATTCATTCCAAAGTAGATACATACATGTATACATGTCTTTCCTTTTTTAGCAGCTGTTATTGTATCGATCTTTTGTTGAGAGTATGCTGTTTTTTTCTACTTTTTGGTGAAAATTTCATAAAGTGCAAAGAGTGAAGTTTGGTGAAGGGTTTTAGTATACAGGTATCCTTAAACTTCAATAAAGAGTATATTGAAAACTCACTTGTTGTTCTCTTTTAGGCCAACTATTATCTAACTTTGTCAGCAAAAACAATGCTTCTATTAAAATTTTTTGTACAAAAACATCACCTTCTTACCAGTTATCTTGTACAAAAATGCTTTTAACTTACATGCTGAATATACAGAGAAGTCTGGGATAAAGTGCAAAAGGTCTTTAATCTTTGTAAAAACTATTATTGTATAGTTGTCTCTTCTATTTTTTTCTAATAAGTTTCTGTTTTTGTTAGCCATAAGTTTGGTATAAGTAATCATCAAGAAGAGTTGTGATTATGTGTATAATAACTATTGATAATCAAGAAATTAAAATATTGGTTTAAAAAAAAATGTAAAATAATATTTTAGATTTATTAATCATTATTAAAAATAATTTAGACTAATATTATAAGGGTGCAGCAACTTAGTGAACTTGGTAAGTTGTTGCACCTCCAAACGGCAGAACAAGAGTTCGAATCCCAGTAAATCGGTAACTATACTAAATATGATTTCATTTCGATTCTTATCTTTAGGTTTTCACGAGTTTCGCGTTTTGGAGTTGTTTTGATATGCGCAAAAATAGTTAATTGGTCGGGTTGATCTGGTTATCCGGTTCGGGTTTCGTAGATCGGTTGTAATTCGGGTTTCCAGTTTTGATCCGACAATGTCCATTGATATTTTTTTCAGTACATATCATTGTCCATTGCCAATCCTGCCCTTGGCCGAGGAATCAAGTTACCAAACTTATATTGCTCGGCCCAAATTATACTTAATTTTGCCCAAAATTCTCAATGTTACACTGCATTAAAATTTTCATTTCCCGTGTCCCTGATCATGGCACAGCTTAATTTAAGATTATTGCAGCATGTTACTTGATATTTTTATGGCGACGCACAAATACAAAAAATACACCGATATAATTTATATTAAGAACGATGAGAATTATAGTTCGCAAACAACTATATGTTCTCATCATTCTCTTACCCTGCGTGTTATATTTTCTGCCATTCACGGAAAGACACCATGACTGGTTAATCGGTGACGATTTGAATATACCGTTAGCGCAAAGTACATCAAAGTGTCAAGGGGAAGGCCGCGCAACTGTCTGCGAATTCACCAATCTCTGTGTTGATAGAAAAAATGGTATAGTCCGAGGATTTAAGTTACTACTGATATATAATGCCATTATTCATACCTCTTTATTCTTGTCTGCTGACGATAACGAATACTTCAGGTATCTATATAGTAAATCAAGAAGACATATCAACCATTGCTAATGTTATGAATTCAGATAAAGAGTCGGATTTTTTTTGGAAACCTACGGTACGTTCCAGTTATCCGGAAAAAGTTCAATATATAAACGATACTGTGTTCATATATGGTCTATACGCTCCCTATCATTTATCGCATTGGATGTTTAACGGATTGTTGCCATTATACAGGTGAGTCAATGAAAAGGTGAATAATATTTGTCTAATTAAGAAATATATGGTTTTTCACTTAACCTGTGGAACTAACAATTAAGACCATATTAATTTATGCTTAAAAATTTATGCTCAAATTCCGTAGCATGATGCGCACACACAATGCCACTCGAAACGCATGGCTTATGCGTGTTCATATTTTGGTTCATCAACCGTCTCAAACGATACCTCAGGATATCTCATTCCTTACCGATGGGAAAGAGATAGTGTTTAATTATGAAGATTTATTGACAGAAACACAGGTAATGCCACCTAATGTACCTATTTGTTTCGCCAATTCGGTTGTTGGTAAGCATTTTTGCTTTTCTGAAACATAGGGTCTATATAATAATGTCCATTTTTAACTAATTTGCAATCTGTATTTTTCATAGGTGCTGGAAATCGATGTAGCTTAAATTATTGTGAAAAAAATATTCCAACGGAACATTACGAACAATTTCGGAATGACATTCTAAAACACTTCATTCACAATGGCCAATGGGAAAAATATATACAAAAAAAACATGTAGATCAACGAGAGCTTGCTTGTATAAATAGCACAAAAATATACACCCCCGATAACAGCGATATAAACATTGATAATAAAACAAATACACCTATTATCGGCGTACTACAACGATATCATAATCGTTACATATTGAATGCTGAAGAGTTGATCAACGCATTAGTGAAACAAAAATACACAGTCAAGTTCTTTAATTTTGACGTTGGATGTTCCCTTCCGACAACCGCAAAACTTTTAGAGGATGTAGATATCCTTATTGGATCTCATGGCAACGGAATGGGTGATGGCATTTTTATGGCACCAAAAACCACTGTAATAAGTATTGATACTCGGTTCTATTCTGAACCATGGTTTACTTATATTCACACAGCATCTGGACGTCGATTCTACAATTTCCAATGTGAATCTGGCGATTGTCAAGTGGCAGATTTCGAATTGGCAAAACAATTATTTGAGAGATATGGTGTTGACATGACGTACCATGATCTGTTGGAATATATGGGACCAAAATATCCAAGCCGAATTATAGACAAATATTTTGCTGGAGATGGACGTTTTTATAGTGACTACTATGAAAAGGATGCAATAAGACGCGTTGAAGTGGAAAAATTGGTGAGATTCGTGAATGAGATCCTTGAGGAGTTGCCGTTAGTGAAGAATAAGTCATTTGTTGAACTCTGCGAAATTGGCAAATGCTGTGGTCCATGGTGTAATGAGGCGTTGGAGAGAAATGTATTCAAAAAGGGTAATGCCTGGGGTGGTGAAGAGCGAACATTAAGTGCTGGTGTAATTAATTGGAAGGCAGCAACATAACATTATGCTATTCATGACAAATAACAGACAATACGCATGTACCAATATTATTTAACTATTCATAAGACTGATTTCTGTAGTACGACGACAAAGTCGAGTAATTGGTCACGTCCGATGGTTGACACAAGGATATTTCATTGAAATATTAACAGATTTTAAATAGCTTTCAGGATCAGGCGTTGTCAGGGCGTGAGGTTTCTAAATTGGTTTATAATAGTTTAAGATATTGGTTATTTATTTTTATTTTTTTTTGTTTTTCATATAGTTTTTAGACAATTTTTATTTATACACTAGTGTATAAAGCATAGAGACACGATCCGTTATCCATTTTCCTATTTAAAATCTGGTTATTCAATATAGTGTTTACAATTTTATACAGTAAACTCCCTAAACAAAAAATTAATAAACTCTGAAAACTGAACACAAAGTTTTAGAACATTTATAAATTTTATTAAGTTCGCATTAGAAACAGTAAAATTTTTTAAATCAAACTTTTAAATTTTTTACATATAAGTCCGGAGGGTTCAGTTCAACAGAATTGACTGCATATATTATTTTGTTAAAAAATAAGAAACTAGAAACAGTAAAATTAGCGGATATCCGGATCGCATCTCTAATAAAGTATAAAATTAATTTTGGGGTTCTAACAAAGAATTTTTTGTAAAAATTTAGTACAGATAAATTTTATCAAAATCTTAAATCATAATATAATCTAAATAAAAATATTGGCAAGACCTTCTAAGAAAAAAAAATTAAGTAATAAATTCCCGTGTTTTCACGGAACACGAGTTTGGACACTTTTGGATAAATAAATAAATTAAAATTATTCAAAATTTTATTAACCTATTTTAACTTTCTAAATAAAAATATTCAGCATTATAAAAATTATACAGTATTTTTTAAATTAATATATTAATTTTTGAAGTTTGAGCATGCTGTGGACATTCTTGAACATGTGGACGTTTGGACATTGGACATGACCTAAAAAATTTTGGACATAGTTGACGTGACAACACTGATAAATTCTATATATTTGGGTAATTATTTTTGAATTCAGACCAAAATGTTATCACGTCATATATAAATTGGTCCGAGTTCAAAAATAATTACCCATTTTTAAAGGCACTAACATGTTAAAAAATACTCAAATACTAAAAATATCAATATGTTAGATCGTACGTATTAGCAAAAACATAAAACATAAATTAGAACATAAATATTCAAGTGCATTAGTATAAATATTCAACAATAATATAAATATTAAACATGAATATGGAATATACAAATATTAAGTATATGAAAAGATATTAAGCATACAAATATTGGGCTCAAATGTTAAACGTCTTGAATACATATTAACGTTAATATTAAATACCTTAAATAAATATTAGGTACCAAATATATATAGGACATGCTATTTCGAATACGCCCATGGGAATATATTAGCAGATTTTCTGAATAAGGATGTTAAGTAATCCACAAAGGACTGATTCGAACCGGTCTAGGACCGAACTTTTAGGGCCGGTCTGAAACTAGTTCAGATAAAAGTGAGTCACGAATACTTTTGGCATTTCGCTTTCAAAACTATCTAGATTGTATATTAAACTGCTGGTTAGAGGCCTGTACGGGCCGGGTTGAAATTAGAAACTTTTAAAAACCTCAAAATTGCGGGCCTAATATGTCATAAACATAGTAAAATGCGGGCCGAACTTTTAAAAAACATAATAAATTTTATTTTGCGGGACGAGTAGGCCCTTACTGCTGGTTATACCCGGACTTTTTAAGAACCGGACTCTTTAACTTCTTTATTTTTGAACCCGGTCTTTTTTCAAAATATATAATAGTGAGGTGCGCGTTATTTCGGGACGCGCATGGACGTTATTTTGAATCCACATTAGGGTGTCCAGGATTATGCTACTAGCATAATTTAGCATAATTCAAGCTTGCTAGCATAATTATGCTAGCAGCAGAATTTAGCAGAATTTATATTTGCTAGCATAAAATCTAGCATAATTTGGGTATTTTAATAATAGAATATTATCTAATACCTTTCATTTTGATTACTGCACGTTTCAAATTACTGTAGTTGTTAAATTATTACCCACTACACAAAAATCCACAATTTTTTTTTTAAATTCCTTATTTTTTAAAATACTGTATTTTTTGTTAAATATTACTTTTCTAGTATAACATCTATTATTCTATTAGACCATTGAGCTAGTTAACAATAGGGTTGGGGGCATGGGGTTAAGAGGCATGCCCCCGGGGGCATGCCTAGGGCATGCCCTTTGACTAGGGTTGTTAATGGAGTAGTTTACTCTGGAGCACTCCGGAGTAGAACCCAACCCAAATTGGAGTGGGTTTAAAATTATGCCTTTAAATTTGGAGCAACCTGGAGTAACCCAGAGTACTATGGAGCAACCCAGAGCAAAACATTGGAGTAGGTCTAATTTAGTGGAGTGGGTTGAAGACTGGGTTAACCCAAACCAACCCAACCCAACCCATTAACAACCCTACTTATACTCCTTCAGCAATTATTAACGCTTATCGAGTTACAGGGATTTGGCCTCTTAATTCTAATGCTATAAGCCCAGATCGTCTTGATCTATCTCTTTTAACTGAGCGAATCAATTTACCTTTACCAAATATTACATCATCTTCTCAAGTCACTATACCATCCCCTCAACCAAATCATAATTCTCTTGCATCATCTACTCTACAAAATTCCTTTGAATCATCATCTTTTCTATCCATATCGCCTTCTCTACCAAATAATTCCACTATATTATCATCTTCTGCATCGTTTTCTCTACCAAATAATTCTCCTGCATGTCTTCTTCCATATCTGTATCATCTTCTCTTTTATTATCGTCTTTACCAAATAATTCCTCTGTATTATCTTCTATATCGCTTTCTCTACCAGATAATCCCTCTGCATCATCTTTTCACCTACATAATTATTCTCCATGTATAATTAATATTATTAAAGAGAATGAGCTTTTGAAAGCAAAAAATGATTTTCTAAAAACAGAAAATGAATCGATTAAAAGAACTTATCAAGAATTACAAAAGAAAATGGAAACCTTAAAAAATCCTGGTACTTGTTCCTTAAAACTGGCTCTTAAATATCCTACTTCGCATGTTCCAACTCAAGTCGAGCCAAAATCTAACCAGCCAAAATGAAGAAAACATTTCCTGTTCGCTAAGCTTCTTACCAACGAAGAATCTCTACAAAAATTAAAAGAAATAAAC